GCCCACCAGCATGATGACGATGTTGGCATCGGCGTGGTCCTGCAGCTCCTTCAGCCAGCGCTCGGCGTTCTCGTACGTCAGGTACTTGGCGATGTCGTAGACGAGCAGAGCACCCACCGCCCCCCGGTAGTACCTGGGGCACAGCGAGGGGACAGGGTCACAGCAGGGCCCTGGATGAGGGACAGGGGTGGGGAGCAAGGAAACTCACGCCGAGGTGATGGCCCGGTACCGCTCCTGCCCCGCCGTGTCCCAGATCTGAGCCTTCACCGTCTTGTTGTCCACCTGGATGCTCCTCGTGGCAAACTCCACGCCGATGGTGCTCTTGCTCTCCAGGTTGAACTCATTGCGGGTGAAGCGTGAGAGCAGGTTGCTCTTCCCCACCCCAGAGTCCCCGATGAGCACAACTGGGGGGGCACAAGCACAATGTCAGCCCTCCACACACCCAGCAAAGGCGTTTGCCTGCTCCAATGCCAACCAGCCCAGCAAACCAGCCTGGCAGGGGTGGGGGATCTCCCCATCCACCCCCACCCCAGAGCCCACCTCCGCTTCATCCGGGAGAAGCCGCCGGGTGAGGGGGCTGTGACTGCGAAGCTGCACTCAGGGAGCAGGACCAGCACCCCCGCACGCCCCAGCGGCACTGCAGCTGCCATAAATACCCCTCGAGGAGATTCCTGCCATCGCCTGGAAGTTGCCAGGGTTTTCTGCCCCAGCACAAGACGGGCAGGAACCCGGAGACAGCCAGGCCAGGGAGGCCAAGAGGAACTGGGTCTCCTATTTCCAGCCCAAGCTCCAACCCTGAGGGCACGCAGGGGACTTCAGAACCTGGTTTGAAAGGGAGCATCCTCCTCCTCCTCCTCCGCGGCCACTCGTCCAGCCCATGAGCCGGGAAGTCCCTGGGTGTGGGTTGGTTAAGTGCACTTTCTGCCTGTCCCAGATCTGGCTGGTTCCTGCGAAACAGGCTCTGGAGAGGCTTTGTCACGTGGCTCCCTATCAAGTTTGTTGAGTTTATGACTCACCAGGTTTTGATTTTATTATTCCCCCACTGCCGATTCTGCTCATTCTCCAGGTGCACTCAGACGCTTTGCTTCGCTTTGCCCACCCTCGCGGGACCAAGCCTGGGGGGACACTTCTCCCCAGCAGATGAGGCAGCAGCAGGGCTGAGACCACAGCGGCCCAGCGACCACGCTGGGGACAACGCCAGGACAGCAATGCCAGCAAGGGGCTGCCGGGCATGCCACACCGCTGCACGGGCCACCAGGGCTGCAGAGCACACGGCGGGAGTTGCGGCAAGACACATCCACGCTCACGGGAGTTGTGGCAAGACACATCCACGCTCAGTCAAGGCTCAGCAGCCACCACATTCTGAGGATGTTGCTCCATGCCCTGGATAACTCCTTCCCCACCAGCTCCAGCTCACAGGGACTCGGCTCACTTGCATGGGCTGGGATGCAATGCCAGGGCAGTCAGAAATAGCATAGCTCCATGGAGCCCAGCAGCGTGCAGGGATGCTCCCGGAGATCACCGAGGGCAGCAGGCAGGAACG